CACACACAACACTCCACAGCTACTCTTTTAAGATTACTGCCATGAATCAGGTGCAGTAATGTAAGGCTCACTAGTTATGAAAGAATAATTGAATCCAAATTTAGTTTTAAGCTTTTTCCACTAATATTTGTGGAGAAGACACTCAAGGTTCTAGATTTGGGGAGGAAGTGCTCTTATGGCTGTTTTTCTTGCCTTTTTTACTACTTTTTCTTCACTCTTACGAATTGGTGATGGACTAGATAACAGTTGCTGGAGGGATGATAAGCCTTTTGAGATAATGGAAATGAGTGGAATCTGAACTGCCTCTAGAGCTGCATTTCTAGTCTTGCAAGGACTGTTTTTTAAAGGACAGTTGCTCTTAATTCCTCAGAAATTGAGTTGTAACCTAAATGACACTATAGGTGGATGTAGCTGTCCAACTACATCAGCCCTAATTTGCTTTCTTCCCTGTGGATGTTTAGTTTTATTTTAACTTAGGGGAGAAGGCCTAGAAAGAAAATCCCTATCAGGCTTTGAATATCAGCTTCCAGTCTGGCTGAATTTCTGATTGTAAGTTGCTAAATCTTTTCAAGTGTCTTGTCAGGTTTCAGCCAGGACAACCAGTAACTACCTGGTAGTATTGAACCATTCCAGTGATCTTTAACATAGCAGTTTCCCAGAAAGTCTCTCAGAGTCTCATTAACTCAGGGAGTAGATTACAGGGGTGTCTGTAAAACCATGGCCTAATATATTTTCCTTTTGGTACCTTTTATAACTTAATTTTTATTAGCCTTTTGCAACAAAACTTTCAATAAGGTTGTTTTGGAATTTTAAAGTCTTTGCTTTTAAGTGCACTTCTTAAGTGATCTTATCTAATCAGAACATTCCTTCTGATGGCCACTGTAATTCCCCGGAGGCTGGCAGCTGTTTGGGGGGACCCTCAACATCCAATGGAATGCAACCCACATTTCTGTCGGACCATCTCTGACCAAAAAATGGGGTGCAACCGCATTTTTGTCTGAGTGTATTTTGGGATCCCAAACAGACGATTATTAAGCCAAGCCCTCAGGATACAAAACAAGTTTTGTAAGATTCTGCTCTTCTTCATAAATATTTACAGCTTCTGGAAGTTTAATCTTGAGCAATTGTGCTGGACGGTGGCAAGCTCGACTGTTTAAAAATTCCTCTATTGCCTGGCTCTTAAAAAGGAGTCCCACAGTAGCCACTGTAATTTTAAATTATCCCAGGTTATCTTGCCAGCCGTTTTGCAATCCAGATTTCATTACGAACCTGCAAGTTTCAGCATGAAGCCAGCTGCAGTTCTGAGAGAAGGCAGCCCATTCGGGAATTGGTTGGCTTTTAGAAACTCAAATTTAGAAATTCAAACTCATTTTTCTTTCAGTTTAATTTTACTATAACTAAACTAAGGACAGCGTAGTGGGTCAGAAATGTGAGTGCTACTTCCTAACGAAAGGTCATAAACACTCTCTTATGTGCCTCAGTATCTCCCACCAGTCATCTAAAACTGCAGTGGGGGCTTGGAGCACTGGAAGACCACTCCTAATATGCCTGGACGAGCCTTTACTTAATTAACATGAACGATAGTGGAGTTCCCTATAGGAGCCCTATGCATCATAAGGATTGATCCTCTGACACTTCCGTGAGGTTCTCAGTCACCTGAAAATGCCTTTCAGCTGGAAGGAGCTGGTGTCCTGTTCTTTGGAACTGAACATGGTCAGAATCTCATTTCTCTATCAAGCAGTTTGTTCAGATTTTATAAACACAATTCTTTCCAACTTAAAGCCAAATTAAAAAGGTCAGTCTGCCCCATTCACTCCACAGTACCCCCTAGCCTCCCCTGACCTGGGAAATTCCCATTGGGTTTCTCCTTCCTAGCAATTTCCCCTAGGTTCCTCTTTCCTAGGGTGTGTACCGGTACCCCCAAGGCACCTAGTCTTAAGGCTTATATAATCTGGACCATTGACTTAAAATCAGAAGGTCAGAGTTCAGAAGATCTCACCAGGGTCACCTGAAGAATGCAATGATCCAGGGGGCTCAGCGGGCCCCTATTGGTACTGAATGCCAGTTCAGTGGAGGTTCCAGGTGGTCTCCAGTGCATTTCTCTGAAATCCTGCTGTGACCACAAGAAGAAATGTCGATGCAAGAATCCATAATCAATCTATAAATCAAAATTGGGGTGAGTTTATTATGAGCCAGTTTTGAGGACTATAGCTGAGACTTCTTTCTCCAAGGAAGGAAGAGAACCAAAGAAAGAGGCTGTACAGAGCAGTTGTGGACCATCTTGGAACAAAGAGCATACATCACATATGGCAGGAATATCTCTCTTACTACTGTCACAAGACGCTTAGCTGGGACAACAAGTTGGTGGTCACAAGGTGAACGCAGCAGGTCAGAAATGAATCCCTAGTTCCCAGGAAGTGACACTTATCCTTAAAGAAATGCCATATGTTAGGAAGGTACATCCCTATCTTTAAGGTCATCATTCTTGCCTGTGGGACATACTAAATGTTTAAAGCAGATGTACAATGAATGCTCAACAGGCCATGTCAAGCTGTTTTGGAAAAAGAAGTTCGGGCCAAATTAGTTTTAAACCAAATGGCTTCCTCTTATACTCCAATACAGACTATTGCTTTTCGTTTATTCATCAGGTCCCTGTTTGAAAAACCAAACATTGCTTTGGGGAAACAAACTGTCTCCTACTTTGAAATGTTTTGTCTGAAACAGATGAAACCCCTGATTTATTGCCATGAGCACACAAGCATGATTGAGTGGTTCCAATCTTTCCAAACCCTCCCAGGAAAGCCTAAAGGCCCAAAATAAGAAATGAAACAGCAGGAAAAAATCACATACACAAAGGAAGTTAAGCAAAAAACTATTTTGCTTAACTTTATACAAATTTATGGAAAACTGAGATGAAATGGATAATTTTCTAGGCAAATATAATTTACTGATAGTGACTCCAGAAGAGAAAGATAATCTAAACAGATAAATTACCTGCTATGGAAAAACACACTCCTCTGTTTCTCCTTTACTCTCACGCGACTACCACACTACTTAAGAAACTAGATGTGTGTGCTCCTCTCCCCTCACGGAGCAATTTTGTGATTTCTCAGACGCCAGCTGGGTGTCCTACAATTTTACTCAGTTCTAACACTGTCTTCCTGCAGTTTGTGTCAGATCCCACAGGTTTAGGGCTCAGTCCCACAAGACTATCATCCCCCGACTTCAGACACCAGTCACGAGTCCAGGTTGTTACCGACTGGCTTCCGACTGACAGGCTAAACATCGGAGGTTCCCATGACCTTCTGGTCAGGTTTGAGTAATTTGCTAGAGCAGCTCACAGAACAATGGGAAAACAGTTTACTTACTAGATTCTTGGTTTATTATAAAAAGATATAACTCATGAAAAGCCAGTTGGAAGAGATGCACAGGGCAAGGTATGTGGAAGGGGTGTGGAGCTTCCATGCTCTCTCCAGGTGGGCCACCCTCCAGCACCTCCTTGTGCTCACCAACCCAGGCGCTCTCCTAACACCGCCCTCCTGGGTTTTTATGGAGACTTTGTTACATAGGCTTGATTGAGTAGAGGTTACCAGAGGATGAGGAGGAGGACAAGACAGTAACTATTTGATGGGTATGGGGTGTTCTTCTGGGATGATCAAAATGTTTTGAAACTGGAGAGAGGTGGCACTGGCACAATATTGTGAATACATGAGATACCACTAAAAAATATGCACTTTATAATGTTAATTGTATGTATGAGGATTTCACTTCAGTGAAAAAAAAAAAAGACACCCACCTAAGAGTAGCTGATATAATTCTTACAATACCACGAAAAAGACCAAAAACTTAGAAAGCTTCCACAGAAAAAATACTTTGAAATGAAAAATAATCAAACTTCTTGTCTGCAATAACAGAAGTTTGATGACAGTGAAAGGACATCTATGTACTGCTTAAAGGAAAGGACAGCAATTGACAAATCCTTGCAAATCAGCTAGATGTCACTTACTGTCAGGGTAAGACAAAATATTGGCACTGAGGTAAGGATTCAGAGAATATATCAGCACAGAGAAAATTTGAGGAAAATCCTTCAAACAATTCTCCATCAAATAACAAATTCATCATAACAGACATCTCTAGAATCGGGAAAGATAGAGTCAACAATGATAGCAAAGAACCACATGACAATTGTAATTAAACACAATGGAAGATGGTAATGTGACTGGGAACTTATGATTTAAGTGCAAAGTAAAGATTCCTGGAACAAAGAAGTCACATTTTTGGAGAAAATCTAATAAGGTCTGGAAATAGAATACTTGACTGTTTCGGTGAAGCCTCTAGGTTGGAAGGCTGCTGCAGGGAGAGGGGTAAGAATGTTACAAGACTGTGAGGTGGCAGAGAACGTGGGCTGCTGAGTGTTCTGCATTCTCATCCTACTTGGGGTGGTGAGCAGTGGGACATAGAGGGCAGAGGGGTATAATTCGAATATTCAATATAATAGCAGGGAAATGTATGTATTACTGGGGTAAGCACCAGTGGAATGGAGAAGCACCAAAGAATTTTGGATGTACTCAGGAGGAAAAGAAAAGAACAGAGGGCAGCCTGGCCTCACTCTCAGCAGGGCTGTCCCAGTAGCCTCCCCTCTCTTCCTGAAACTCCTTCTTTAGCTTTTGCCACACTGCGCTCACCGGCATTTCCCATTGGCTGCTCCTTCTCCCTCTCTCTTAATGGTGGTTGGTGCTATACCATCTTTTCTTCCCTAGCTATAATCCCCGCCCCCCCCCAGGTGATTTTAGCTGATCCCATGGCTTTAGTAGCATGGCTGGGCTGAGGGCCACATCTCCAGCCCTGACCTTCCCATGAGCTTCAGACCCAGACCCATGGTCTATTTAACATCTGTTCTTGGAAGCCAAGATTAAAGATTGGATATAAAACCAAATTCTTGTTTTATGCCTCCCCTCACGCAGAACCTGCTCCTCCTCATGCTTTAATAATAATTACAGGTGGCCGGCCCCATGACCTAGTGGTTAAGTTTGGTGCACTCTGCTGTGGCATCCAGGGCAGTTCCCACGCGTGGATCTACACCACTCATTGCCGGACATGCTGTGGCACTGACCCACATACAAAATAGAAGACTGGCACAGAGGTTAGTGCGGGGTGAATCTTCCTCAAGCAAAAAAAGGAAGATTGGCAATAGATGTTATTTCAGAGCCAATCTTTCTCATCAAAAAGAAAGAAAAAGAGGAAAAAAGGGAAAGAAAGAAGGAAAGAAATGAAGGTAAGAGGGAAGGAAGGAAGCAAGGAAGGAAGGAAGAAAGAAAAGAAGAAATAAAGAAAAAAGAAAATATTTACTGCTCAATAAATGTAACACTACCTACCCACTTACTTAAGCTGAAAACCAGGAAGTCATCCTTGTTTCTTCTTTTCCTTCGCTCTGACATCCAGTCCATCAGCAATCCATGTCAGCTCTACCTCCCAATCTTTCCTGAGTCTCTCCACTTCTCCCCATCCCCTGCCACCATCCTTCTCTCACTTAACCTATTGCAAGAACCCCCTCACTGGAATCCTTTTTCCTAGCCTTTCCCTCCTATCAATCATTCTCCAGACCATATCTAGTCTAAAGTGGTCATTAAGAATGTAAATCACGTGATATCACTTTGCTAAGAACCATCTGGCAGATTCCTGTTGCACTCAGACTGTGTCCAATCTCCCTACTGTCCCTGCAAAGCCTTCCCTGCTCCCAGTCTCGTGTCTTCAGATCTCTGCTTCGCTCCTTCCGCCCCAGCCACGGTGCTCCTTCTGTCCCACATGCAGGCCAAGATCATTTCTACACTGGGAACTTGGCACATACTCTTTCCTCTGCCAGGAATAATTCATTCTGTCCTGTCATCATTCAGGACTCACCTTAATTCTTATCCACTCATAGGGGACTTTCTTGATGAACCACCCACACCCCAACATCTCCACCCAACCAAGACTCTTCTATCACATTATCCTAAGTGTCAGTCAGGGTTCTTGGTTACAAGCAAGAGAAAGCAGCTGACTAATTGGGTATGTATATATTAGAGCTTAGCAGGTGGCCCACAGACCTTTGAGGCATCCAGATGGCCAGGCTTTGAGACCACTCATCCAGGAGCCACACCCTGAGTCATACCACCAGAGCTGGTCCAGTAGAAGCTGGTCCACTAATCCTGGCCAAGACATCACAGCTCAAACCCTTGTTCCACTGACTCTGGACACTTTCTCTGCCCCAGAACTGCTGCCACCACTGCCTCAGGCAACTGCAGGTGGCTGCTGCCATGACTGCCATTGTCAATAGCACAGATCCTGTGGGCCACCTCCCTTCATGTCATCAGATTGTGTTTGAAAGTCTGTGGTAGGTGCATCCGATTGGAAGAACCCAGGTCATGTGCTGTCTCAGCCGCAAAGGAGGCTGGGAAAGTATCTGGCATTTATAGCGGGAGGTGGTCTCTGCCTCGTAAGGTAGAAAGTTCCACAGATATGTGAAGGAAGTTCAGATGCCAGGCAACAGAGATGAAATCTATGCCACATCCTTTTCATTTTCTTCACAGCACTTATAATTGTCTGAAGTCATTTGTTTTCCCTGATTTTTTCAGCAGTGTCCCTCACTAGAATGGACGGCTCCATGAGAGCAGGGACCAGGTCTGCTTGTTCATCCCTGTGCCCCCAGCAACCTCAACAGCACCGAGCTTATTAAGCATTTACTGAGTGAAGGCTGGCTGAGGGCGCAGAGGGAGAAAAATTTGTATCAAATAAGTAGAATTTCAAGGAAGGAAGAACAATGACACGTCAAATGCCACATGATGGTCCTGAACAACTACGACGAACCAATGACAGTTGACTTTGTTAATTTCAGGGAGTTGTTAGTGACCCAATCAAGAGCAATTTCAGAGGCGTGATGGGCCAGCAGCCACACTGCAGCGGGTTAAGGGGAAAATGGTGGCAACAGAGAAAGCTGGAATGATTTTCTTCTGGTGTGTACAAACTAATGGAGAAACTGGATTATTGTTTAGCAGTGTTAATATTTTCAGTTTCCTTTTTCTGCAATGAGACCAAAGACCATGTTAGGTGCAAGCTGCAAGAAAAGGAAAGAGCGTGATTGTGGGAGGGTGACAGACACATGCTTGAATCAAAACTGCCATGCTCTAGGCAGGACCAAGGCCTGGGCAAGTTGCCTCTCAGTTTTGTTTCCCTGTCCGTAAAAAGAGAGAATTCTCTTTGTGTGAATATAAAGTTAATGAGATGTGAAAGCAGAGAGGAGATGCAGCGTGGTGTTTGCCCTGTTTCTTTGTTTCCTCAATCTCAGCTGTTCTCTCACCAGGTTCCCAGACTGTCAAAGACCCCAGCTCGTCCTGCACGTTGCAAAGGACCGTGGGGGGATCTGTGCAGCTGCAACTGACCTCCTCCTCATCTCCTGATGTCCGAGAGATTGAGTGGATTCGGGATTCTGGTGATGAGAGAGATTTGATCCTGGTGTCCTGGAAACCTGATACCTATACTCCTGAATGTATGGCCTTGAAGAAAAATGCAAACACAGATTCAGCCTAACAGAGCTGGCTTTCTTGATCATCAGAAATCTCAGTATGGAAATGAGTGGACTGTACACAGTGAAAATCAAGTTCCAGTCTGGAAAATCCCAGGAGGAAGCCTTCAGGCTCTGTTTATACAGTAAGGTTTGTAGGGACCATGCCCCACACAGGCATTCTGACAACCACTTTGTCTAAAGCAAGTTAGACTAGAATTGGGTAAAAAAAAAAAAGGAAAAAAAAACATTTTTCAGGAGTTTTGCATTTCTTCTCATGCGCTAAAGATAAAACTAAATTTTAAAGATTACACTCCAGGAAAAAATATTTATAATTTCTTAAAAAAGTATAAAATATACATGAAATGAGGGAGGCAGAAGGAGCCACTGAAAAGGATAAAAAAATAGTTTCTTCAATCATAAAAATACTGCAAAATTGATTATAAGAAATATGCAATTATATCAAAAATGTCCTGAATTGGTTGATTGAAAACCTGATTTCAAAATGTTTAAATGACCCAAAAAGTTGGCAACACCAAAGCAACAAAACAGGACACAAAAAAGATGAAATAAAAATGCCAAGAAGGAGATTGATGATAGGACGAGTCATTAGGTAAAACACTTTGAGACCAATTGACCTGAAGTCCAGCTGCAGAGATCTCAGGACAAAGCTCTGTCCCGCTCTGTCCAAGTCAAAGACGCAGGAGGAGACCCAGCCGCTGTGCCCTGGAGCTCTCAGGCCAATGGGGAGCCCAACACCCTGCCCCAGGAAGCAGAGAACCTGCGCAGACGTGCAGTGGAGAAAGCAGAAAAAAGGGAGGAGGGGGAGTAGAGCCTGAGGGCCATCCAACCTGCCAGAGTTCTTGCCCATTGCTCCTCTCTGCCTCCACCCTCCGTCTCCTCTGCTTGGGTGATCCCAGCAGCCTCCTAACGGGCCTCCCTGCCTGTTGTCTCTTCCTCCTTCCAAATCACCCTCCAACCAGCTGATATTTGGATCTGTTTAAAAATGCAGTACTCTTCCTGTTATTCCCCTGCTTAAAACCAAATAATGCTTCTTGTCCCCACCCCCACAGGATAATGGCACTCAGGAAAAGTCCAGCCCCACACAGGATCTGGTCCTTGCCTGCCTCATTTCCCAACACTTTCCCTCATGGGCCATGCTCCAAATTAGCTACCCTTCACTCACCCACCGGGCCCTTTCTCTTCTCCTGGACATATGATGGTGGCTCTCCAGGGGACATCCATCTCCCACGTTTCCCCTGCACAACTGGCAAATCCTCACCCAGTGGGAGCAGGGGAAGGGTGAGGGACTCAACATGGGGGATGGGAACGCTTGTAAGAAGAGACTGGGGAGACTGGCTTGACTGTCCAAGCTGGGGTTTTCCATTGGTGAAGGGTGGGGAATACACCCGCTGCCCCCCCGGCCTCCAGCTCCTGATTCCTGATCTTGTCTCTGTCCTCCTTGGCTGATAAATTCCTTGCATAGCTTTCTCAGTGACATCATATTGGTACAGTCTCATCCTATCTCTTTTGGCAGCAAGAAATGGAAACCTACTCAAATTAGGTCAATGAAGAGGTTTTCATTATAAAGACACATAGGTTTTTGCTCCATGACACAGCAGTTAAGCTTGCACGTTCCACTTCAGCAGGCTGGGGTTCACCGGTTAGGATCCTGGGTGTGGACATGGCACTGTTCAGCAAGCCATGCTGTGGTAGGCGTCCCACATATAAAGTAGAGGAAGATGAGCGTGGATGTTACCTCAGGGCCAGTCTTCCTCAGAGAAAACAGAGGAGGATTAGCAGCAGATCTCTAGGAGGAAGATGCATACAGGAGCTCCTCTGGCCCTCATGCTCAGGGACTGGAAAGCTGATGGGCTCTCTCTCCTCTCTGTCAGGGACTGTATCGTCTCTCATCTTTGCTCTCAGTGTCTCTCTCTCTCTCTTTTTCCTATTCTCCTGGGCTTCTCCACACGGTAGGGAACATGGCCTTCTGCAGCTATGGGTCCCGCTGGATCAGACAGCAAAGGGACTTTCCTGGTTCACTCCACATGGAAAATCCAGGGAAGGACCCTTGTTGGCTGGTCTTGGGTCACAAGGCCACCCCCAGATGGCTCACTGGCCAGAGGAATAGTAGATTCTATTGGCAAGGCCTGGGAATGTGCCCTCCCCTGTAACCAGGATTAGGGTGCTATGATTAACATAATATCAAAAACAAGGTTGGAGCAGAATAGAATTTGCTGAAAGAAGAAGTGCTACTAGCTGGTTTCCTTTAGCCTTGTTTTCCATTCCCTGACATCCCATCAATGCCCAAGTTCAGTCTTCCAACAACACTCGCTCTCTCCCCATCACCTGTAGGACTAAGTACTCATCACAGCATTAGGCCCTCCACCAACTGACGCCGTCATTCCAGCCTTGTTTCCAGCCAAACATATTGTGCCTCAAATACAGCCTCTCTCTCCCTCATGGCTTTCAGAACTGCCATGGCCTAAGAAAATGATTTTCTGATCCATATTAAATGAATATTTCCATTTTGAAGTCCCAAAGTTCTTTCTCCTAGTTCTCCTGCAGATCGTGTTTCTGTCTGCCTTGCACTACCATTGTTTGTGTGTGGTCCACTCTCCACTTGAGAGCGGGGTCCGTGCCCTGCTCTCCTTGGCATCTGCCCAGTGTTTTCTACAGCTCTCAGCAGGCCTTCAGGAAGTACTGTATTCCTGTAACCAGATAGAGTTAAGCAATATTTAAAGGATACCTACAGAAACACACCTACTTTTTCTAGGATTTTTGATTATTCAAGCCTGATTACTATTCCTTCACCTCTTGAAAAGAGCAGAATAAAGATTCATGTAAACCAATTATTGAGTGAATACTCTAAATGCCTAAGAGCATGAGCTTTCTAAACACCCGTCTGTGCTTCCTTACTCTGTGTAGCAGACAGTCTATTTGGTTTTATATTTAAATTATTATCTGTTCATTAAGTCAGATCTTTCAAAAAGATAAGTAAATATCATTTTCCCCAGACACATGTTCAAACAGTCTTGAGGAGGGCCCACACATTTGTATTTTTAATAACTGCCCAAGATCAGGACCTGGTAAACTATACCCATTGGTCAAATCCAGCCCAGTGTCTGTTTTTATACATAAAGTTTTATTGGAACACAGCCACATCCATTCATTAACATGTTGTGTTTGGCTCCTTTTGTGCTATAACGTCAAAGTTGTGTAGTTGTGACAGAGCCCATATGGCTGGTGAAACCTAAAATATTTGCTATCTGACCCTTTACAGAAAAGTTTGCCTCCCCTGCCTAGATGAATCTACTGACAGCTGATCCAGGTAACTTCAGAGGTTAACATGAGGATTAAATGAGTCCATGTAAACCCTTGGAGCCATGACTGGAAATGCATACCTGCTCAATGAGTGCTAGCTGTGGTTTTCTTTTCATCTGCTAATGGAGTAAATTACATTAATAAATTTCTGGATTACACTAACTTTGTATTCCTATAATAAACCCAACTTGATCATGATGTATTGTGTGACCGTATTTGCCAATATTTAATTTAGGAATTTTAAGTTCTCTGTTTGTCGCTGACATTAACCCATGGATTTGCAAGTGTGTTTTGTCTTGTGTTGGTGGTGGTATTCTCCTTGTCTGATGTGAGCATTCAAGTTCAACTATCCTTTCAGAACGACCTGAGAAACGTTTTGCCTTTTTCTAAGCTCTGAAACAGTGTCTGTAACATAGCAATTCCATTTTCCTTGGCCATTGGGGAGCACTCAACCCTGAAACCATATGCACTTCATGCCCTTTGTAAGGACAGATTGTTGTCCACCTTTCTACTTTCTTCTAAGGCTGTGGGTGTATTCAGGTTTGCTGCTGCCTCTTAACAGAATTTTGATCATTTACACTTTCCTGGAAAAGCATTATTTCATTTACATTTTCACATTATTTGACATGTAGTTGTACATAGTATTTCCTTATAATTTTTTAATATCTGTAATTTTGCCCCAATGCTCATTCCTATGATATTTATTATAGCTTGAATTTTTTAGTTAGATATCAATATGGCCTCTTTTAATTGGCCTGTTTTTGAAAAATCAGCTTTTGATTTTGCTGATGGAATCTCCTTTTTTATTGTTACCTATGCATATAAGTTAAGAATATATTTGACTGCAATTAGCATAAAACTTGATTTTCAAAGGTTTAAGCAAAGTTGTTTCTCTCATGGAACGAAGTCAAGAGATAGCATTTGCTGGTGTTGGGCCATTTGCTAGGCGCTGTCATGGGGACCCAGGCTCGCTCTGTCTTCCTGCTCTGCCATCCTCGGCACATAGACTTTTGTCCTCGTGCTTGTTGCCTCGTGGTCCAGAGGTGGCGTTGCTCCAGACGTCACTCCACAATAAAGCCAGCAAGGAGAGAAGGACAAGGGGAAGGTCCTTCTCGGTCTGGGGCTCTGTCTTTTCAGGAGTGAAGACCTTTCCTCCCCCAGCAGATCCCCCTACTTCCCTGGTCAGCACCAATGCAGCTGCAAGAAAGACCGAAACCGAGACTTTGGCTCTCTAGATTCCACAGCAGAGGAAGCGAGGACGGAGAGGGAAGTGGGGCTGCGTGTGGATGGGCCACCTCTCAGATTGGCCACGTGGCCGTTACTGGCTGGTTTTACCTGTGTCACATCCTTTGCTCTGGTCTACCCACCATAGTAAAATAATCCACTGGAGTAATAGTGGATTTGAAAATTTCTCCTTGAATTTCCAATAGTGTTTTGGCTTTGATTTTGTTTTGTTTTGCTTTATAACATTTATGCATTTCCAAACCATGTTGTTAGGTACATATTAATCTAAAATATCTCTATTTGGCCTGCTAATGTTTTTTATCTTAAATTTTATTTGGTCTGTAATGACTCTTGCCACACCTGCAGTCATTTTCTTGACATTTTCTTCATCTGCTGTTTCCCATCTCTTTCTTTTTGATCTTTCCGTGTCGTTAGGTAATGGAAATAGTGTGCAGCTGGCTTTACCTCATCTGAGTCCTGGCTTTTAACAGGGGGATATAATGCTTTCCAAGGTATTTCGTTTTTTTACAGGTATGGACCTAAACTCCTGAAATCTTGTTTAATGTTTTTTGGGGGGATTGTTTTTTTTCAAAGATTGGCACCTGAGCTAACATCTGTTGCCAATCCTTTTTTTTATTTATTTTTCCTTCTTCTCCCCAAAGCCCCCCAGTACATAGCTGAATATTCTAGCAGTAGGTCCTTCTCATTCTGCAAGGTGGGACACTGCCTCAGCATGGCTTGATGAGCGCTGCTAGGTCCGGGCCCAGGATCAGAACCAGCAAAACCCTGGGCCACCAAAGCAGAGTGCATGAACTTACCCACTCAGCCACGGGGCCGGCCCCTAATGATTTTTATTTACCTTTTTTTCCTTCCTTTTCTTATTTTTTCTTGCTTTTATTTGATTAGTAGAGTTTTCTTTGACCTAAACTTTTCTAGTAGTTTGGAAGTTATACCACCTTGGATTTTTATCCTACAGCTTACTGAAATTAAATTTTTATTTCACCATTTAAAGATAATCAGTATCCTTTTGTTTCTGTGAACAAAGCTTGAACTTTAACATGTTTTTCCACTGTATTCTCAACACTCCCATGTTGTAGTTATTATATATAAGAATACATAAAATTATTATCATCCATATGATTATCATGGATACATATCATTGTGTAGTTATCATATACATCATGTCTATTTAATCATCTAGGCTTAACTGGGCACGGGAGGGACTCAGCCATCTGCCCCTGGGCTGGAGTCAGAACCCCTTGGGCCAGAGGGAGAAGGGTCCTTCCCCAGGGCTGCAGTTAGGAACCTCACACAGCTGCACCACCTTAGTGAGAGCGGATGATGTACTTGGGGGGCCTCCAGTCCTGAAGGTCAGTTTCTCTTTTGTCCCCCCTTGCCCCAGAGCCCAGCCCCCAGCCCCAGATTCAGATTCATTCATCCTCTCACATCAGGCTGGTGCAACATCAGCCTGGAGTGTGGGACCCCAGGAGCCACAGACAACCTGGCAGTGACCTGGCTGAGCAAGGGCCTCCCAAGGGAGCTGGAGCTGAGAGAGACACTGGGGCCAGTCCCCAATTCCAGCAATTTAAGCCTGAGCCTGCCCCTGGGCCGGTTGAACGGCCACCTCACCTGTATGGTCAGCAACCCTGTGGACGAGAAGAATGCAACCTTATACCTGGAGAACATCTGTCCATTGACGGGTGGGTGCGATTTGCTGGGAAGGGTGACGAAAGTGGGCTAGCAGAGAATGGGGAAGGGACGAGACTGGGTGGGCTTAGGGAATGTGGCAGGACAGGGGAATATTTTAAGGCAATTGATGTGGTGCAACCAACAGGTCCCCACCCCAGTGAATGGCCACACCCTCGTTATAGTCTTTAAACTTGCAAGTCCAGAAATTGGACCAATATGTGGAGACTGCTATATCACCCAGGACATAAACCCAGGACTGGCATGTGGGCACCCCCTTTCCCAGCCTTGAGGAGCCCGGAAGGCTGAATTAGTCATCAGAATCCAAGCAGGGGAGGAGGACTTGAGGATTAAGGACTGAGGATTCCTTAGACCTGGAAAGCTCATGTCACCCAGACTCGGGCCCCCTCCCTGGATGGGCTGGACATGTTTAGCACATTCAGGCTGATAGATGCCTATTTTTTGCTGCATGTCAGTGGTGCCATTTCTGAGATGATTAGCACCTCTGAGTAAGTAAACCACAATTCAACCATCCACTGAGCAGTGAGAGCACCTGTGGTCACTACAGCCAGTTACCCACTTCCCCCATCAGCCTAAGGTGTCACCCTGCTAGATAAAGGGATGGTCCAGGGTAGGTTAGGGGGTGGAAGCCCTTACAAAGGAGCCTTGGACCTGGTTTCATACAATACGAAACCTCCTACTTTCCCTAGGATTACGCAGGAGGAACAACAGATGGATAAAAGGAGGATGAGTTCGGCAGTCCCCTCCCACCCACGTCTCCCTGAGCTCTGCTTGCTCACGTGGGGCTCCCGTGTGAACAGTCTCCTCCGTGTCACTTCCTCACTCACTCAGCCACTCAGCATTCAACCCTCACACTAGCACTGAGGTTCTACCATGTGCTGGGGGGGCGTCCGTGAGCGGTAAGATGAGCCCCGCCCTCAAGGAGCTTACAGTGCAGTGGGGCATTGCAGCACACCAGCTGTGTGACCCTGGACAAGTCACTTGATTTTTGGAGCCTTTTTGTAAGATGTGCAATAATTGTATCTACTTCATAGGGCTGTTGTGCGAATTCAAAGGGAAATCTATGGAAAGTTATCAATACAGTGTGTGGCATAGATTGTGTCAATAATTATTAGAAAATACTTCAAAGAAGAGGAGGAATAAATTTCTAAATATAAAGCCACACATTAAGTGCTGAAGTCGAAGCAAATACAAAGGATATGGTTCAAGCACAAAAAAGAAAGAAACTGAGCAACTGCTGCAGGAGTTGGGAAAGGCATCACAGAGAAAGAAACACCTGAATTGGGCCCTGAAGGATGAATAGGAGTTTTCTTGTGGGAGTATGAGAAAGATACCCCAAACAGAGAGCAGAACATGTCCTGAGATCTGGTGACCCCAGATTCTTCCATTCCCTCCCTCTCTTGGGATATATTTCTTTTCTGGGATTCTGAGAGGAGAAAAGAGAGCCAGGTTGAGGGGATGACCAATGGGACATCTGGTTGGTGGGGGCCTCCAAGTTGCCTGTGCAGAGAAGAGACAGAAAGCCTAGCAGCAGAAACGTTAAAGTGACAGTGGGAAGTGTGCAGTGAGACTAGAAGGGAGGAAACCTGTCAGGGCTGCATCAAGGATGTCCACTTGGGATACAGGTCCTGAGCCAGGGTGGTCCCACCTCCTCCCCCTGTCTGCACCAGGCCTGACTGAGGCAGACCTGACACCAGCCTTTGACCCCACATTCGTTTCAGAACAAACGGCTTTGGAGAGGCATCCGTCCCATGGTTCTGATGGTGGGCCTGGGCGCTGGAGTGTGGATCTGGATGAGGAAGAAGACGGAGACTGGGAGAGGTAGGTGCTGGAGAGACGCTGAGAGGAGCAGTGGGATGGGGGGGCCTGGAGGACACCCCAGGGAGCGGGGCAGGACTGGGCAGGACAATGGGCAGACAGAGGCTCATGGACCTCTCCTGTGAATCATCCCTGGAAGGCTGGGGTAGAGCCTGCTGGGGGTGGGAGCTGAGAACATGCCCAGGAAGGAAGGTGATGTGTGGCAGGGACAGGGCAGGGGTCTGGGACCTGAGCTTACAGCCTGGGGAGCAATAGCTGCCCTCACCCAAGGGCTGATGAGGGGTCACCTCAATTCCACGCAGCCTCACTGAGTCTCTGCTGAGTGCAGGTGGGTCTGCTCTCCTGCCCGAGGGGCCCGGCTCAGCAGCTGCTCCCCAGGCCCTTCCCACAGAAGAATCTGCTGACCTGCAGACTGGTGAGGCTGACAGCCACTACTCCCCCTACATGAA